ACTTCGTCATCAGGCTCCTCAGCTCTATCCCCAACAATCAACAGCAACAAATCAGCCAGTCAAGCTGTGACTTCTGCAAAGGTACCAAAAGAAGCAAGAGATTATCGTACATGTGCATCCTGATCTTGTATCTGTCTGCTCTGTTATACTTTATGTGTTTTCAATGGCTACGCAGCACCATCACACTAACTGTTTCGAACGTTGTCTTCTTTGCAGAGGAAGCAGAGGTCGGATGAAGATGCGCCACAAAATAAACGTATCAAGCAAGAGATGTTGGAATCGCTCTTGCAAATGGAAGTTCGTTTGGACGAGTTCGAGAAGTTTGCGTAAGTATCTTTATGTTGTAAATGGGTTACCAGCACTTTATTGAAGTTTGATCTTTCCAATGCCTACAACATCTTGAACCTCCTTCACTAGCTCTCTAACACTTTCCAACTATTGGTAGCAATGAGAAGCTGTCAGTCATGGAATCCTCGGAAGCCTTCGTCAAAAGGAGACCGATATCTGTAGATAGCGATGAAGATGACGATGAATCAGAGGACGGACAGCCTCGACGATCATCTTGGAAGAAGACACATCAACGACATTATACCGATGATGATGACGATGACCGGGGTTCGGAAACATCATCAAGACCATTACACAATAAAAAGCTCGCTGCTCGGCAAAGCAAGTATTCAAGGGATCAAATAACTACCTTCTGGAAGCACCTCAGAATCAGGGCTGCTTCTGAGGCCTTGTGGTTTGATAATCCAGACACTCCCGAGTATGTTGCAGATATCTCGTTGATTGCGTTTGGACAGACTGAAGCGTGGAATGAGGCTATTACATCCAAGACTGTATGTAATATTGTTGGCTTATGCTTTTCTTATCTTTTACTGGTTGCGCAGCAAGCGCCAAGTACATATCAAACTAGCGAAACTGTCGTTTTAGGCTATCACAGCCGCCTTCTCAGGTTTTCGGAATACAGTAAAGAAGGAGTTGCAGAAGAGGTTGCCTGAAGTCTTGGATTTAAAGGAAGGCGATGAAGTCCATATACACAAGATATGTGCCAGGATATTGGATAAATGTACCTTTGTCTATCACCCTGATAGTGTCAACAACAAGGCCAATCGCAACAATGATGAACGAAGGGTATGTCGTAGACATTTCTTGCGATTTCTTACTTGCGGTCCAATCTTTATTCACTTCACCTCGCTCTAACATTCTCTGCACTTTGACATGTAGCCCTTTCAATCACCTATACTCGCACGAGCACTACATTACGCATACCGAAGCTTTTTCGAAGAAATGGAATGGACCGAGTATCCAATACCAGCAATAGCATTGGTTGTTGGGTTGATGGAGTTTTGTCTCTCAAACCCAGAAAACTTTTGGAAGGGAATCACTCCCGAGACTCGGAAACAGTATCATCAAGCTGTAGGGTATCTCAAGTATTTGAGTAAGAAGTATCCGGCCTACTTTGGAGATACCATGAAGTTACTATGGGAGGCACATCTTGAGCTTGAGAGAACTCACCCACGTACAGAAGAGGAGTTGGAAGAAGGGTGAGCAATCATTCCACCTACCAGTTTCTTTCTGTTTCCTGGCGTCATTGTCAAGTGTCCATACTCACACATTTTCTCGTCTTTGCAGACCAGCGAAATATGGAATGTCAGGTCGTGGTAAGTACATGAATATGGTTTAGTGTGCTGAAACACTGAACCCTCTCCGTTGTTTGTCTTAGGCTGGGCATACGTGCCAGTTTCTGATTAGTTCTGGTACTATCACGTGCTTATCTATTATATCACTGTCTTGAGTAGGATTCATCGTTTGTTTTAGTAGGAAAAATTTGCCTTTTGCACTCTCTTGTCGTGACACGCTCTTTGGTCTCATTGCAAACTAGAGACACACTAAAAACCCTGTAGTTTTCGGCAGTATAATTATATAAGCTAGTAGTTCCTTGCACATGTAATATATCTCGTGATTATGATAAATCTGTTTTACAGCTGTTCGTGTGACTTACTTAGTGTTTGGGTGTTTGGATTCAACAACAATGGATGACATGATGGATTTCGACATCGAAAAGGAGATGGCCGATGATGCCGACTTAGAAGGGTTTCCAGCCCCATTTTCTATCGATACAAGAGATTTCTCACCTTCAATTCGCGCAATGGATGAAGACTTTAGTGTACGTCCGAATTTTTCTGCAATTTAGAACAAGCTCTGTGAAAAGAGTAGGACAAGCAGGAAGAAAGCATGAGAGTTATGAAGCATTCTATTTTATCGCACTTCCTTCTGCTCCTTTTTCGCATCTCATAGTCGTGTATTGATGAAATTCGGGACATTAAACACCAAAGGCCAACACACCTCGTTCAAAATAGGATGAGGAGTCAAAACAGAGTGTTACAGCTCCATTGAGGCAATCCGCTGCATTATCAATTCCCAGTATTACCCCAAGCCTCGTGTATAATACCAATCCCACCAGCAACAGCAATACAGGTGCAGCTGTATCTGCTATTGTCCCTCAACGTATTACTACTACCAGTACTTCTGCATCTCCCCGTCCTCATCCTACTCATCCTCATATCCCTACTCTTCCACTTCCAACACAACCAAACCAAACGCGACGAGAGGAGGAGGAGGATTCGTCTGCAGTTTATGACAGGGTATTGGCTTTTGAGAAACGAATGAAAGACCTTATGAAAGATTTGTAAGTTTAAGCGTTGTGTTAAATTGAACAGTTATTTCACTTCCAGTCTGTCACTCACTCATTGTTTTTTTCTCCCTCCACTTTTAGCACTCGCCGTACCACAGCACTGGACGAATTCATCGTTGATTATGAGAACGGGAAATTCAAAAAGCCATCAGGAGCATCTGCGAAAAGAAAGGCTACAAAGTCGTTGTCATCATCCTCCAGTAACAATAAGAAAAAGTTAAGGAAGACTGATGGTAAAAACAAGCCTGTTTACCAACGAACGATTCTCTGTTTGGAGCCACAATTCACACAAACTCGAATTACTTTTCAATAGATGGACCAGAATTCACCATCAAGAGGACTGGAGGTAGTAGCTCAGCGGCTCCACCAAGTCCAGTACCCAAGAAGAAGACAGACTGGTGGTATTTCAATGACGCTTGGAAGAAATATGCTTGTGCAAACAATCTATTTCCCAATGAACGTCAAGGTCAAATCCAGGCTCAGTTCCGAGCTGTCTCGTTGGACTTGTATGAGGATCGAGACGCATATATTGAAAAGTTTGATCATGATACTGAGAAGGTATGGTATTACATGTCTCATATTCTGCGTAATCTTTTTTGTTCGCTCTGAGCTTTCTCAGAATGATTAGATCGCTGATATACCTTTCTCTTCTGTTGTTATAGTTCAGTCGCCAGATTCATCAGTTTCGAACAGAACTCAAAAACATTATCATAAACAAGGAAAACGAAAAATACGTATTCGACATCCAAGAAGGAGATGATCGAGAAAAAAAGATTAACGAAGCTATTGGAGATACCATCGTAAGTGTTGGATTTGTTGAGTAGAAGTACTACAATAAAGACGTTGATGAGGTCCATACTCAGAAACTTTGATTTTGGGCTTCTGTGAAGAGTCAAAGGATGTGAAATGGTCTTCGTCTTCGAGACAGCTTTCTCACATTTGAGCACTCTCTCTTAATGTCTAGAATCTACGGTCTCCAATGCTTGCACGTGCTTTGGCTGTACTGTTTCGAAAGTCTGGGTATGCTGAGCGATGGGGCTGGACAGAGTATCCACTTCCAGTGATTGCAATGGGCATTGCATTGGTAAGTATCAAGATGAAACTTGAATTTTGTGTTAATTCACGCATTTTTTGTTACGTACGCCTCCCTCCTCATTATTTACGTATCGAACGTCCTTGTCACTTGACTTGGCCGCCAAACAGATCCAATCATGCTCACCAAAAACTGGCACTGGCACTGGAGCTATTCAGCAGCTCTATGAGAATAGTTTGGGACAATTACGAAATTTCGTCAGGGATAAACCAGAAAGAAGTGCCATGACCCTTCGTAATATGTGGTTGATTGGTGACGAGAACTATGTTGCACCGGTTTCAGCTCCTGCCGGCACTTCTACTACCGCTACTCCTGCTTCAGCAACTGCTAGTGGAACGAATCCCGCTTCAGCAACTGCTAGTGGAACGACATCGCTCAACTCTAGTACTAGTAACACACCGAGAATAGTGTCAACAGGTGGCGCACGACCATCCTCATCGACTTCCAACGCAACTGGTAAATCGTCTACACCCAAATTAGCAAACACTCGAATGTCACCAGCAGCAGCATCATCAAAGCCGTCTCAGCCACAGCAACAAAAGCAACAACCGCAGACATCTACCAAAACGAGACCAAGTAGTAGTGGGATCTCAGACCTGGTATCAGATCCATTCGCCAGAAAGGGCGTTAATATAGGAAACGAAGACGAGCAGTTGTTTGGTAGTGATGAGGACTTACCTGGACCAGCCAAGAAGAAATCAACAAATTCCAGGAAGTTGTTTGATGACGAGGATGACGATATATGAGGGCTGGAAGATTTGCTATACATATTATTATTGGTTTGCACCGAGTTGCATCTTATACATATACAAATGGAGGGTGCTTAGAGTAGGAGGGCTTTTGGAAGAAGCCTCTAGAGTATAAAAGATAGTTTGGCATGAAACTATGGTTGAGAAGCCTTAGATAATGTTTTTGCACAAACAAGTAGAAGAGAGGAAAGCAAAAAAAATATATTAAATTATATTCAAATGATGCAATGTGTACGTGTTTCAAGTTTACTTTCTGACCTCGTACACGTCAATGTACTTGTCGTGCCGTAAAGTCCTTGGTTCCATCACATCGGGGAAGGATACACCTTGCAGGTGATCGCACTCATGTTGCAGCATCCTGGCCAGCATTCCTGTAGCGGTTAGGCTTATGTCTTCGCCTTGGAGTGTTTGAAGAAGGGTGATGAGACAAGAGAGCATATCAAGCACAGTAAGTGTCATTTTATGACAATGCCACAAGAAGCTTAACCACATGCTTCACTTCCGCTACCTCCATACTACACCACATCCCTTCTTCTTCTTCCTGCATCCCCTCTCTCACACGGCTTCCCAGTATTAACACATTCCAACAGAACAAACCATTCAAATTACCTTGCAAATCCCACGCATCCAGTCTAACGAGCTGCGCCCTCCTCACAAGCGCATTATAATTTGGTATGGATTCACACGACTCGTATTCAGCTGCCCACTTAGATTTCTGATCGCGATCCAGAATCGTGAGTTTCGGATTCACGTAAAACGTCAACGGCATTGCGGCATCGACTTTCTTATCCCGTATTAGCTTCGCGTCTGTGATTTGAATTGCGAATAGCTTTATGCTTTGGCCGATCTATATGAAGTAGAGAGTGAGTGAACGAAAGTGTTTTTTTGGTGAAAGGTAAGGCATGGATACTTGGGGAGCAGAGAGGCCTAATAGATTCGGTGTACCTGTATGAAAATGTGGTTGTAAGATCCATGTTCCAAACTCCCAAGTTTCCAATTGCCAGCTCACCATCGAAAACACGCTTCATGGTATCCACAGTTTTCAAGAAGCGTGGTGAAGTTAGATCCACCTTTGATACATCGTCAGCGGGGATCCGTAAGAGAGGATGGCCTGTGCGCAACACTTCTGGAGTTGGAGCGAATCCTTTGAGCTAGGCAAAGAAAAGTGGATGCAATGTTAGCGTCTAAGTTCGAAGAGGGAACAGCGAATTGTATACGATCAATCAGATTAAAATGTTGATACGCACCCGCACGAGGTTCAGAGCTGAGCGGAGCAAGGTTCTTGTTGTCATGTCACAAGCTCAAACGTATATTCAGAGGTCGCCCTGATAAAAGTGAAGTTAGGCGGGTTAGGAGAGTTTAGTGTGCGGAAGAGGAGCACACTACGTGATATCATACGTGAATACTGCCCAAGGATGGAATTGGAAGCTTTAAGTTTGCCCTCTAGCTCCTGTTTGCTGATTGCAACGTAACAAACCTGTCGCGTCGTATTTCCTTGGTCATAACTGCATTATTTTCGCGTTTTGAACATAGATTTTGAACAGAACTAAAAAACACGTGCTACCGTACTGTCGCAGTGGATATAGAAAGTGTTTTGTTGCCTGCTCTGGCTTAACATTCTAACACTTCAAACATACTAGAGCGAGGCCCCAGTAAGTGTCTTGTGAGTAGGCCCACTTGTACTAAGGTTTAAGAATGTCTAAGAAGGCAAGTCAACAGTTATCTCTCGCTACTCTTTAATCTTTCATGGACTAACGACTTACAAACAATCACCATTTAGAGAAAGGACAGCGATGTCGAAATTGTCAGCTCGTCTGGTCCTGCTGAGAGTTCCAAACGGTCAAAGGTAGAACCAATCAAATCTTGAGCCTTTGCAATTTTGATCTGTAGTATTCCGTTATTGGCATGTTAAGGGAATGCGAAGTGCGATCATGTTGGTTGACATTGACAATCACACCTACTTTAGAAATCTTCTACTCCAGTTCCTGCTCTCGCGGTCCCTCCAAGAACGCTGACCTCGACAGATGATCTACGTCAAATGGCAAGGAATGTGCTGGACCATATCGCCCTGCTGAGAAAAGAGATTCAAGTTTGGAATCCGTACGTGCTCGCTCTCACCATGCAGTGATAGAGATATGTGTGATTGCTTTGATTTTAATGCGAACTTTTGGTTGCTTGATTAGAACGGAGGACTTGCTAGGATCGTCTCATACGCTAATTTCAACTGATTCGAATCGATCGTCCTCGCCGTCAGCACCACCATCACCCAATAATCATAGTCATACTATTGGTATTAGTCGTACATCGCAAAGCGCATCGCAGTCAGTAAGCAGTAATAATAGTGGTGTACAGACAAGGACACAACAACAGCAGTCCACGGAAGTGAGCAGCACTAGTAGTGATCATCAGAATGGTGCAGTAGCATTAAACAAGGCCGTAGCTGATAATGCCACTGATCAAGCATCATCATCGTCGCCAAGCAATCCAAACACCAATAATCATCATCAAAAGACCCCTGCATTACCAAGTACATCTATTCCACCACAACCCATTGTAAGTCCCTCAAGTAAATCAACGGGAGCCACACCAACAATAGTTGGACTCAAGGCTGCAGAGACCAGACGATCCGCTTCACCTTCACTGTGGGCGTCAGCACCTGCTGAAGGCAATAGTAGAGATAAAGGCAAAAGTGCAGCGACATCACAGCCATCTATAACATTATCGACTACTCCATCAATCATACAGCCCAAACCTACTCTAGCTCATATGCCACTACCAAGCGTCCAGAAGAATGATTTCTTCTCAACAATCATAACCCCAGCCATGCCAGTGCCGCGACGATCATCTATCGAAATTATAAAGACTCCAACACCACCTGTAATTACAACCACCGTTGGAAAGTCTGGTCATGAGGCGTCGTCGCAATCTCCCTCCTTGTGGTCTATGGCTGTAAATAAAGCAAATGAAGAAAGGAATGGGATTAATACGATACGGACAACTACGCCGATCGCTTCTCCCCTACTTGTTGCTCGTGTTACTGGACAGAGTGTACGACGAACCAATTCGAGTGGACGTATTACACCACAGCCTAGTGCTAGTCCACAGCCAGGTAGTACGCCACGACCAGGCAGTACTCCACGACCAGGCAGTTCTCCACAACAAGGGAGTACTCCAATATCTGGTACCTCACAGCCGGGTCTGACTCGTCAACCGCCGAGTACAGAATCTGGTGACAGCCAACTCGTAGACGATGACACTTCCAATAGCAACCATCCCAACACCGATACTCATGCGCAAGTACCCTATAGGAACAAAACAGCAAGCACCACTCCAGTTCCCATAGACCTAACTGATAAAAGTAGTAGTAGCCAGACAACTCTGTTAGCCCGACGATCACAATCTCCAGCACGAACTATACGAACCGGAACACCTTCTACGAATGAGGGCCAAGTATTCTCGGAAGCAATCAGAGCTTTTGTTGCTACAGAATGTGGATTTCCGGATGATGCACAATTGGCACTAATGGTTCAAGCAGCTTCATTCAAAGCATGGAATGATAAGTATGCTTATGTGAACCATGTGCCTCCAAAGAAGGTAAATTGACGTGTGTTTTGTGTTGAAACATCGTCACTGAAACCTCATCCAAATTTACTATTTTTTTCTATTAGATTCTGGACCTTGTTTCATTAGCCAGAAATGGCATTAAAGCCAAATTTATGGATCGAATCAGGGATATGTTACAAGTTTATTCTGATTTGATCTCTGTCGCTGAAGATATGATGGACTCTTGTGTTTACTATACTTCTGGACCTCCAAATCGAGTAAGTCGCTCACTGGCGGTCTTGGAATCTTCGATTGTGGCTCTATCGGCAGCAAACGGTTTCTCTAATTGTAACTTGGTTCTTCCATGTTCAGAAATTCGGGTCAGATATCTTAACACGAGCGATGTATATTGCTTTCAAGGAGGGGCCGAGTTCGCTCGCAAGTAAGCTGGGATGGACTGAATATCCGCTCTCGGCTGTTGGCTTGTCTATTGTCATGGTAAGCGCCTGATTGGGCCTTCCTCCTGGTTGTCTTATCGAAAAGACTGACACTTCCTGTTTTTGTCCACAGATCTATTACTGCTTGTTGAACATTGGAAGGTAGCAACCAATCCCATTCGAGTCGAATGATATCGAGATCCGCTAACATTTCTGACGTTGTAGGAACTGGGCTACGCCAACTGTCGAAGCAACCGGCAAGTTCCAAGGAATAATGCGCGAGTTGCTTCACTATAAGGAGACCGATGCGGAATTTGGGGCCATCATGACGAAGATGTGGAATTACGAAGAAGTTGACGTCAAGCGAGAGTTGGTTGATGAGGCTGTAGCCAGTCGACGAAAGTCTCATCGTATATGTAAGGGCGGAGGCGTTTAAGATTTGCCTCAGATGTAAAGTAGACTGATCTGATGCGATCTGTTACTCTCTAGGAGTTTGAAGACATTGGACAATGAGCTTTCCTGCCAAAAGTGCAAACTTCAAAAGTGTTCCAGAGACATTTGTAACATAAACATTGTAATGTTCTTCGTGTATTTTTTCACGAAAGAAAGATCAGCTATATCATGCCTCTCATTTCTCAGTTCTTTCCTTGACCAAGTTCATCTCATGCTGTTCTACGTGACTCAAAACAGTAGTGAAATGTCACGTAGAGTCGAGCCTATGTGCTAAGAATATAAGAATATAGAATGTACTCATAGTAGAAAGTAGAAAGAATTGTTTTGCGGTCTCGCGTTCCTTGTCGCGCTCTTTTGGGCGTCGCGTTATTGCTGTAATTGCTGTAGTTGGTCGTTTCTTCACGCAAAGTCGCCCAGAATATGTTTGTATGTAAAGCCTGCAGAGTGGCAGCAGCTCATGCTCGCATCCAAAAGACACGATGGCAGTCTCATATGAGAGCTCCTATATCACTCGCTTCTCGTAAACTGTCGATACTTGCCAACCTGAAATCAACGTCGACAAGTAGCACTCATCGCGATGAAGCTGATGACGAACACATATCAGAAGCCATCAATAATCCACCACGGCACTCGAAACCTTCCTTTCTCTTCCGTCCTTTACACCAACCAACCGGTCTATTTGGCTATACATTCTTGACACATCCAAACGAACTGGTCGTGTCAGCCCAGCATACCTTACGTCTCGCCCAGCGGATTGTCGATCTAGTATGTAGTGCAACTACTGAATCTGAACTGAAAAGAACTGTGAAACGGCTGGACCGATTGTCTGATTTGATTTGCTCAGTGGTCGATGGTGCTGAAGTCGTAAAGAACATACATCCTGATTCGAGATGGGTGCATGCTGCTAAAGAAGCTCATCTCGTCCTGAGCGATTATCTGAATCAGTTGAATACGCATACGGGCCTGTATCAGGTAACCTGAAGTTGGAGCTGATGTAGAAAGAGTCCAGTTGCAAAGTATGCCATGCAGCGTTCGCTTACACTTTGCCTCTTATTAGGTGCTCAAACGAACTGTCGAAACACCATCTATTACCTCTCAATGGGACGAACAGGAGATGCAAGTTGCTCGTCTCTTGTTAGCAGATTTCGAAAAATCAGGAATCCATCTCCCTCAAATAGTACGAGATAAAGTAGTCACTCTCCATAATCGAATCCTCTCTGTCGGCCAGGACTTCGTCATGGGCGCGGGGCCAGCAACACCAGGAGTCGTCATTCGGGACGCTCAGAACGCATTACAGGGGCTTCCACCGGATATACTTGAATCCTGTCTTATAGATAACAAGAAGAAACTGGCTATACTAGGATCTTCTAGATATGCCGGTAGCAATAGAGGCGGAGGAGGCGGGAGTGCAACTGCTATGATACCTATGGGATCTCCTGCTGTAAACGCGGTGTTGAGGTTTTGTAGAAACGAGGACGTGCGAAAACGGGTGTATGAAGCTTCGAATTCTGGAACGGATGCTCAAGTTGCCCTTCTAGATGACTTGTTACAGACTAGAGCCGAATTGGCACACGTATTAGGTGTGTCCAGTTACGCTTGCTTGCATTTATCTGACAAGATGGCCCAGACACCAGGTATGCTTGTATGCTCCGGCCAGTAACTGAATTCCGCCCTCCTTTGAAGGTATTGTTCTGACACTCCAATTATCTGAACCCTTCCTCTAGAACACGTAATGAGTTTTCTGAACGACCTCGCATCCGCATATCGACCATTAGCAGAATCCAAAATTCAACAATTACGAGACATTAAAAAGCATCATTCCACATCCAACACATCCGATATTTATGCGTGGGATCGTCTGTTTTACTCCCAATTTACGTCATCGCCCGATACCATGTCACCATCACCACCGTCCCATGATCCTTTCCATCCAAACTCGACGCCAATACATCCACATGAATCAAACATGATGGATTCCACATCAGCGTATCTCACACCGGGTGGAGCCTTTAAAGGAATTGCGTACCTCTTTAGACTGTTATATGGTGTTAGATTACAAGTCACACCCACACTACCTGGAGAAACATGGCATCCAGATGTGGTCAGACTGGACGTCATTGATGAAGGTGGAGTCGTTCTGGGTACTATATATTGTGACTTGTATGAACGTGAAGTGGGCGGTGGTCGTAAATATGAATCTGCTGCTCATTTCACCGTTCGTGGATCTCGGAGGATTGATGGTGATTTTGAGGAATCTGATGACTACTTAATGAGTAGTCACAGTAATGGTACTAGTGGTGGTGACAAGCAACACATATTGTCTCGTCCTCAAGGGATTTCGGAAGTTGATGGCAAAAAATATCAAATCCCGGTTGTTGTACTCGTCACGAGTTTTCAGCGACCTCAAGGGCACAATAAGCCTAGCTTACTGAGCTTGGGAGAATGTGAAACGCTGTTTCATGAGATGGGGCATGCTCTGCATTGTAAGTGTCGTGTCGATGTTACTGCGATTGGGTTTGTCATTTTCGAAATGCTCCCCTTCGCGTTTTTTTGCTTTCGGAAAATGTCCTCGTATATCCACTTTTATCAATCCCATCACATCCACTTTTGATTCCCGACATCGCTCACGCTCACTCTTTCTCTCCTTGTAGCTATGCTGGCCAGAACAGACTACCAACACATCGCAGGGACAAGATGCTCTGTGGATTTCGTCGAAATCCCGTCCATGTTTCACGAACGATTTGCACGACACCCGGTAATCCTCTCCTACATTGGCCGCCATCATAAAACCCGTCAGCCTCTCCCACCACATCTACTAGCCTCCATATCCCAATCTGCATCATACACAAACCCATTGGACGGACTCTCACAAATTCAAGCAGCAGCGCTAGACCAGGCATACCATTCCGAACTCGTATTACAACCTGGATTCTCGAGTGACGGTATGGCTAAAGCTATTCACGAAAAGTATAATCATAATTTGGTTGGGTTCGTTGATGGGACTAGATGGCATGCACAGTTTTCACACTTGTATTCGTATGGGGCCTCGTATTATGCGTATTTCTGGTCAAAGAGGTGGGCTGAAAGGATTTATGAGAGGTTGTTTAGTGTTGATGGGAAGAGCGGGAGTAGCAGTAGTGTTGAGGATGTTTGGAGACGTGGTGGACAAGTGTTTTGGAAGGAGTTGTTGGCACCTGGTGGTGGGCGGGATCCGTATATAGGGTTGCGTAAGATTGGGCTTGAGGAGGAAGAACACACGGCTTCTTCGACCAGGAAAAATTCTTTTGTAAAATAGTTCATTCAGCATTTCGTTTCCACTAAGTTTGGAACTGAGAGACTCGACACACTGTAATCACATAGACCTCAATTTTTTAGACAGAAATAGAACAGTTTTTAATTTCAAAATTGCATGTTGCAGATTTATAAAGAGCCAGTTTTGTTTACAAAGCAAGGACGGGCATTGGATTGATTCTTTAGTCACTAGTATATGATAACACAGATTGACTAATGCAAACGACAGCTACACCGATAAAGAACCAGTACGTAACGACCTTGTCTTCAGGATCGTATTTTCGTGCATTTGGGAGTAATCCATGGATCTAGAAGAAAGAAAGATGGTCATCGGTACATTAATTGAAGTCCGTTTTTTGCACGAGCATCATCCACTCAAACTCACGGCGATATACAACAAGATCCCAGCAACAATACTCAACACAATTCCACTAGCAAGAGTATCCCAATGCGTTACGAAAATCACATATCCAAGAATGGCTCCAACAAATAGGAAGACAGAGTTCAGAGCAGAGAATAGTAGACCTGATAAATCAACGTTTAGGATTGCTTTTTTGCATTTATGGAACTCACAGGAAGGAAAGAACATACCAATCCATTCAGACCCAGTCGCATAGTACCATGGAATAGACAATACAAGACCTTCGGGTATTTTGTGGAAGATGAGACCAACTGATATAAGGACGCCAAGACTTTCAGATCCGAGGGCACCCGTGAAGATACTAGAATTCGAAAGGCAGGTGAGAATCAGATCTTCACATACGAAGCACAGAACAAAAACGAACACTTTGGCAAGAACGTACATCAATCCTTCAAACAAATTGTGAAGAGCCAAAGCTACAACAACAGGCATCATGCTTTGTCGTAACGACATTCGTTCAGTAGGATTCTTGAAAATCCCTTCAACGTCCCGTGGTGCTTGTGGTGTTGCCGCAGAATCATGAGTAGCTCCTTCACCATTCACAGCCATTTCATCCTTGGTATCACTGCCAACAACACCACTGCCGCCACCCATAGCACCATCACGAGTATGATGACTATGACCAAACATCCCGCCAACCAGCTTTGAAAACAACATCATAGCTACAATAGCACCTAGAAACACTCCTAAAGAAATCGTTACACTGTGTTTTGGGTCGACGGCGGTTGATGATGCGATGTTTGCTTGTGCATCACTGAGCACGTCGCTTGTGGATAGGTAGACTAGTACACCGGCAGCTAGAGCCAAACATCCAGCTAGGAATGGTTGGGATTTCGAGATTTTGAACGAGAGGAGAGAAGTTCGGTCCAAGAATGGTATAAAGGCAGCCAAGATGGATGCACATGCTGCGAGCCCGACCTATTTGTTTAAAATATGCGTAAGATGCGATGAGACAGATCTCTGAACAATAGTGGTTCATATCATCATCAAGCCCTTCAATCATCAACACTCCGCGTGGTTTGTCTACAACTGGGCCGTCGGAGACAAACTGGGCATATAGCCATGGGCCATCGGTAAACGAGCTTTGAAGGATTGGATGGCAATTTTGTCGGAAATAATTCCATTCTGCCTCCCTTCCACTCCGCCAGTAACAAACCACACAAGCGGATTACAAAAGCTCCAAACAAGCAAATTTTGCAAAGACATGTGCTCACCAATCCGAATGCCACATTGATATTCCCAGAAGCGAGATTACCCTACAATCGAGCGGTAGGACGTATGTTGATTAATGCAGAATGTTGAAATCGTGGTTATCATGCTATCGATTCGAATGCTCACCATGGCTGTCTCCGTGGCGTTAGCGTCCATGGCCAGAACATGCCCAGCATGAGCATGAGCACCTTGTAGTAGTGCTAATACTGCGATAGCGAGTGAGAGATGAGGTGCGCCTTTCATTTTAAGATTTGCTGGTTTGTTTTTGTGCGATGGGCAAAACTCTCTCAAATATGAGTAGTTGATAAAGCCACAACTTGGCAGAAAAACAGAGATGACATGTGAATACGTGAAAGAAACTGAAGTATGACGTGTTGTCGGTCTGCTATTTCGTGAATACCAATCGTGATTGTCGAGTGACACGATGTGCGATGACACTGCTAGCACGCCAAAAGAGGCGCAACAAAGGTTTTGGCAAAATGAACGCTTGTTATCAAAGAATGCCGGAGCTTGAACGGAGACTTTAGCTGAACGGATTTGTGCTTTGAAAATGTTAGAAACAACACAGACCGGCTTCCGTTACATCCAAACCCCTTTTGCACGATCAATCTATTTCCAAAAGATTCAGCTTGCTAAGATCTTTCTGCTATTGAGTCAGAATCCTTGATGGCTTGAACTCCAATTTATACTAACGCAGTGCTGGTAGCGCCGGCGGTATCATCACATTTTGTGTTCGCCTTTCGGAAGTCGATCTAAAATGACAGGAGACGTGGTAAACTGAATCTCTTGCCTGTCAGCTTCACTGAAACATTGCTTGAAGAGTGTTGCTCAACCACATAGAAGATTTGAAGCAACGAAACTCAGCAAATCCTGCTGCTCTAAGTCCAAAGAAGTTCGGCGATCAACCGTCTAAATAGATCACTGTGGTGATTGTCTCAGCTATTGTGAAGAGCTTTGATGTTTGAAGAGGCTGGAAACGCAACCGATGTGGTTTGTGGTTATTCTCGTCGCAAATGCTGTTGTTCAGATGAATTCATCCTTGATTTCGAGGAGTTTATAAGGAGTAAGACGCTGGGAACAGAGAAATGGCCTCAAAACTTGGCTTCTCCGTTAAGTAACAAGTCTGATTAGGAAACTTCAAACGGCTAAGGATTGTCCAGACAATAGCAAGTCCAAAGAAGACAAATTCTTTCATAACATCATGATGCCAGATGTCCCCTAGCTCCTTCCGCCAGCAGTAGCAGTGGCCCGAGGATGAGGACTCTGATATGGTCTTGCAGCTACGTATTGTAATATCCTGTAGATAGAGTTTCTCAAGATCCAATACTTTGTTTCGGTGAGCACATCGAGAGGGATTAGAGCTGGGAATCACTTGGATTCAGATATTTTGAGAGAACCACCGTTTTATAATAAAAAATGTCCATAAGATTCCAAAGAATCGGTTTCTCTATGAGCTGGCAAGAAATCCTTCAAATCGTCAAGATTGCCCCATGATGTTACTTCCACAGGGCAGGTTGCTTCTTGGATTGCCAAATCAGCAATACAAATGCGTGTCGTTCCTCTTCCGATATTCCTCAGACATTCCACCAGACGCTGTGTAAGAATGGTTGGTGTGTGTTTCATTTTTTGCTGCCGCAATGTTAATTCACAACTTCCCTGTCTGAGCATTGGTCGATTGTATTGCACTTTCCGAGCGTCCACATTCACCACATTCCGATTTCCAGTTTCACCGTTGGTAGTATTGTGATATCCGTCCTCACAAGTTCTGATTCAACGCACATGGGCTAGGCGCACTATTGTAGTGTTTGAAACAGACTAGGGGCGACCAGACTTTCTGAAAAGTCCAGTCCTAAGCAGGACTGGACTCACTCCCGAGTCCGCTCGAAGTCCACGATCTCCGTCATAGCACTTTAAGCTAAATCAAGGTCAAGTCATTCCCAAATATTCACAAGAACACACATTTTGGGTGAGGTGACCGACATCAATACATGCTTTACAACCTGCTGCCCATTACTTAGAAACACGCTATAAAAACAACAGTAACGAAATTCTTTTAAAAAATGTCTCTCCTCACATTCTATTCTCATCAGCAAAATACACAACATTACATAATCAAGAACGGGGATAACTACATTTTACAAAGAAGGACCACCATTTCTCCTCCTCTGCTCCCATCCTTGCATTGCCATCCCCTCACAACCACATCGTCATACGCCCACCTATAATATACCACAAATTTCGTTTTCAACTATTTAGGCACAGCCCTCGTAGCCTGCCGCCCTCTCGAAGTCGTATACGTAGCCGTCGAATAAAAGTCTCGTCGTGATGGCAACCTCCCATCCTCATCAGGCAAATTTCGTTTCGCTCTACTTCGTTTCTCCTTTTCTTCCTTGGTTTCTGCTGTTGTTTGTTCGGTGGTACTACCATCCTCGTGTTCACCTTGATGTTCACCACCACCAACAACACCATTATCATCTGTTGTAGGCGTATCAGTCCTTTGTTTCTTGACTGGTGGTTCACTGCCACTTGCTGTACCATCTTCTCCTTCGACCGGGGGTACAGCAGTAGCAGTAGATTTCCCCTTGCCTTTATTCCCTCTGCCCTTACCCCTCCCACTCCTAGCCTTGGCAGTATTAATCACCCTCTTCACAACTGGCTTCGATGACACTGCAGCAGCTGCTGCTTCAGCAAGTGCATCCAATCCACCATTCATATTACTGTCATTCTCGTTATTGGTATTAATATTATGATTCATATTATCGTCGTCGTAACTACCCGGAAGTGGCGCAACAGGCGGTTTAAACACCTCCTCATTCTTCTGATCCTGTTCAGCGAAATCCCATGTCTTGTCTATGGTAAGTCTGAATTTTTTGGGATTCGAGATGCAGAATTCAGAGACTTCGGATGTGGATTGACCGTATGATGCTTGGCCTGTTGAGTGGTCGGGCATGTAGGTGGGGTCGGTTGGGTTTATGAGGCAAAAGTAGAGCTATTGTTGACGTAAAGAGTAATTATTGTCAAGTAGCGAGTGCAAAAAAACACATTATGGGACACCCGAAATCTTACCAGAGTAAGAACCAAAGCAACGGCAGGTACGGGATATGTATACCACTGTAATCGAGCTGCATAAGAGTATCTTCCACCGTCCCAGTAGGCGGCTTCCAGAGCACGCATGAAGATGGCACTTTGGAGTTTCTACGTAAGAGATTTCATTGTTGGTGTCAACCTTAGCACGTAGCAAAAAAGCAACAGTATTTATACAATGAATACCTTATTGCCCAGGTGAATATGTGATTTTGTCCTCAAACAGTCATTACAGATCTTGCTTAAATCCTGTCCAGGCACGAGTCCAAGTACAAAGTGCAAGTGTTTAAATATCTTTGCTTTTATCTCGGCCCTCCAATGAAGCAAAGTATCTGGAGCCTAATAAGAATAGGGCATGTTAGCACTCATAGCAAAACAGGACATGCACAAAGGCAGGCGACCATGAATGTCTCCTATACATACCAAAGGTGGTTGCAACTCCTTGAGATACGCTCTCCGATGGTTATAAAACTTGATGGAAGCCAGCTCGACAAACGGTTGTTCATCATCTGGCCACAAGTTCTCCTGTGCAGCGAGCGCAATCATTGTTTCACGGAATGTAGGTGGCTCTGTTTCCTCATCGAAGAATGGAGGGAGCATTGGTGCGGAGGCTGGTTTTGGTGCTGCTACTGTTGGTTGTTGAGGTATAGAAGCTACTTGAGTATCATTTGATGGTTGTTTGGATTGTTGAGTAGGATCTGGTATGGTGGTACTATGCTGCGTGCTGGATAATGTTGTGTTATTGTTGCCTTGAATGGATGTACTAGCAGTCATATCTTGTCTGTTAGAAGAGAATATGTCAAAATTGAGTTTTCTCATACTCTGGTGTTTTTGCCAGGGCAAGATTACGCATGGCGATGATAAACGGCAAGTAAAGAGAAGTAAGGACAGGGACGGTACCTGTTGGTATGGAGTGAATGCGATGCAGGATTGACTCCTTCCAATGTTGGTTCGGACGGAGAATGGGGTTTCAAAGAAGCATTATGGTGGTCATCCTTTAAATGTGATGATTGATGCTGGTAAGCAGGTTGATTAATCAACATGGTAAAGTAAGGCTAGTGCTGGTATGCAATGCATGGTACAACATGCAATCTATCTCTCCTAATGAGCAAATAGGATTATATGACTGTACCTTGTCTTGAGCAGCGAAAGCATGATGATTCAGTGCAGTATCGCTGCGACTACTAGTCCCAACTTGTCCATCTTCGAAAGCTCGCTTACTCATACCGAATGGGACTGGCTGCTATAGTCCTGTGCTTGATTATTCTGTTGTCTGTTCCAAACTCGTTTGTCAAAGCTGCTATGTTTTCTGTGAGGCAGAACGAAGCTCTGACTTGACACCCTACACATTATTCAACAACTCAATTAAACACGACGAGTCGTGTATATGAATATGCTACTAAATGATTATATTGAAACAATAGGGACTTGATTATAGTTATATGACGTGTTTTTGCTAGTTTGTCAAGTTGAAGAAAAAGTTTGAATTGAAGGTCATCCACATATAAACAAACTCAGAGCCTTCGTGAATTTGATCTAATATGGTGATTTGAAGGATAGAACCTACTTCTCTTTAGATCGATAGAGGTTGTCTTTTCTCGAAACTTGACTTTGCGTTGCATTCGCAATCGATCTCACAAAACTCAACCACATACAACAACAAACAGACACCATGCATACGTTTTAGTAACTTCGTTTTATTACGGGCATCCTCAACGTTCAGCTTTACGAAATTACCCCAAAACAATCAAACCATTACTCTGTTATGAGATCTTTTTTACGTTACTTTGCAGCAGCAGCAGCTTTAGCAGCCTTGAAACAATCAACAAATGTAGGAATCAGCTTAGATGTACGGCGATCTCCAGTGGCTGAGAAGTGTCGGCCATTCATGACGTATGAGAAACTGATGTTGTTCTTCCGATCCCAAATTAAACAGGATCCACCTAATGAGAACAATAAGTAATGAAATGTACGAGAACAAAATGTCAACACCTACCATATCCAAACCATCCTTGAAGAGCAAGATCTTCGTCGGGCAGGTCGTCACGGAATGGTGCCTACAAAGACCGCAAAAAATCGTCAGACACTGGTGGTAAAACGGTCTCCACACTCAGAGACCCTTACCTTCATTCCATGCCACAAGGCCCACCCAGCATTTGCAAAGGTAGCTGATCTAGGTAATGCTTGGTCCTATCATTTAAACAGTGTTAGTGAAATCAAGCAACAATTGTACTTGAAATTGATCCATTTTGTTCTCACATCCATAAAAGGCTGCGGAACATCAGCAACATCCAACGCCTCCTTTGAGATAATAGTCACATCACCCAAAGTCCCGTGATTAGCTAACGCAGCTCCAATCTTGGCTAGAGATCGTGCGTTGGACATTCCATTGGATGAAGGAGAAATGGAAGCACGTCCTTCACGTTCGTTATACATCTATATCAAATTGATTAGGATTGCTGAAAAAAATTATTGAGAAGCTATCGCTTACGTCAACGCCGGCAGGTGACGAAAAGGTAGCAAACGTCTTGTTCAACGTAACGAATTTGGCGATCGTGGCTGCATCTGGTTGGGCAGGTGGAGTGGCAGGGTCGTTTTTGGAGAGAGGACGGTTTGCGTAGGGATAGTTCTGCATTATTGTTGCTCTGTGTTCTTGATCTGCGTAGACGGAAAAAAGGTGTAGTCTCAGTATATCATGGAGGTAAACATTAAACTATTCTCTTATCAGCGAAATACCTTCAGGCAATCCAAAGTAAAACTCGACACCAAGTGGTTTGGAAACGTACTCTTGTACCAATTGCCCCTAATAACATCATGTCAGTTCCGATGTAACAAAACTAGCATGGATGGAAACACATTGTCATCGCTTTGCATGCCTACCATATGTCTCTTCTCCTTATCAGTCCTTCTGGAAACCTCATTGCCAATCAACCCACGCGTACTAGCATGGTAGGCCTGCTTGGTCTCTCCATCATAGTTATGAGGCTGCTTTGCCAACTTTTCAGCCACAACATCGAAGTCAAGCATCTCGGTGTATCCGATTTGGGATGGTGCGTCCAGCCATGCCATACCTAAAGCACACCGTCACTTGTGCTTCTCATACGTAAACGTTCGTGCAAATGCTCGTACCTGCACGATGACCCATAAGTTCTCGAACTGTCACGTTGTCTTTCTTGCCCTGTCCAAACTCGGACCAGATATCCGCAATCTTTGTATCAAAGCTTTGAGGTAGTATTAGCTTGACGTAGCCCATAAAGCGTTTCTACTGGACGACATACTCGAATTGTCCAGCCTCGATTTGTTTCGCCATGAGCAGTGATTCAATGTTTTTGGATGTCGAATATACGATCTGGAGGGATCCAGCGTATGGACGCTTGAACTCTGGGTCTGCATATCCGCCTTCCATGTCAATGACGCATTTGCCTGTTGATTTTGAATGTGTGAGTTGAGGGTTCTCACGACGTGGTCCAGTGTTGCGATGCTGCCCAACAGATGCGATGCTGCCAAACAGAGGTTATGAATGATCCCAACGGCACGGAAACACTCACCATCTACATAAGCACAGATTCCAGCACCAATCTCTTCAAGATCCTAAGTGTGTATGTTGAATAAGCAAAAATCCATGAGAAAATGTCGCAAACAGCTTTCCCAACCTCAAAGTTCTGTTTGAAGACTGCGGCAAGGGCTTCATAGCCTGGTTCGACTGTTCCGCTATAGTAGGAAAGAGTTAGATACACTTGCTAGGTGCGTGCAAACTACCACACTGTTGTAATGGACGTACGTAACGAGCCAGTCAGTGGGGACGCCATCCTTTAGAACTGGTTTAGTTGGAGCGACTGTTGGAGCAATGGGCTCGGAGACTTGTTCGGTGACCATATTTGTAGCTTGAAAGGACTCGTTTGTATACGGTTTTGTAAGGAACGTTTGTTCCGCAGTCAGCGTGTGACAGAAAAAAGAGGAAGCAACATTCAGGCAGAATTGTGAACGTATGGATTTATTTGAGATCTACTCTATGTAAATGAAGATGCAAAACAATCATACGGCCTGATATCTGGGCCTTGGTTTCTCCCGTTCAGCATTAGCCCCTTGAATGCCCTCTCTAACTCTCACCATCCCAGCAGCTCCAATTACACTCAACCTCCGTAACTTACGGCTCGATTTCCACCCATCTAGTTCAGCTTTAGCTTGCACCATTGTCTTTCCCTCTTTAGCAGCCCTCTTTTTAACAGCAGCGTCATATTCAACCTGCAAAGACTTGACAGTCTCGTCGTTTTGGGTAGCAAGACGCTGGAAGGGCACATGCTGTATTAATCCCATGTTTAATTGTTTGAGGGTTGGCATGTCTAGCATTCCTGGGTTTGTTGTAATGTTGGATGCGATGGATGTGGCGGTTTGGATACGGTCGAGGATTAAGGGCGAGACATCTTTTTGGGGTGGTAGACGGCCAAAGACTGGTTCGTGGAGGCCCAAGCGTGTGTATACTTGGGATGTTAGAGTACTCCAGCGGGAGCGGAGGAAGCCGTAGCCTGTTAGTGATAGATTGTGTTGTGTGATGAATTCCCATGTTTTTCCTAGACAGCCTCTGTTTGGGAAGAAGGGAAATACGAGTTAAACCATTATGCAAGCGGATGTATTAACATCATATAGATAGTTCGGACTCGACGGCTTTCTTTGCTAGAGTCTCACCTTTCACGAACAGATATCTTCTTCTCTCCCTCCCCTTCAACCATCCTCTCATAAAGATGCTCCTTCTTCCAGTCACGCCCTCTCAGATCATGCGCTCTACGACGTGAGACTTCTACATCCACATTAACCCTTTCACCATTTGGCTGCTTGAGCAAAACAAACACATATCGATGCTCACGACCTGGATTGGAGCTAGCAGGATGTATAGGCACATACGGGAAGATGACGTCGCCGGGTAATGATGGTTCAGTTGCTGGCTGCTTTGGTTGGAAGGTCAGGATTGGATCGTATTGTTTTGGTGACGGGGATGCTACTGTCTTTGCTGATTCTGCGAGGGGGGATAGGTATGGTGACGAGCCACCTGGTATTACGACACGATCGGTTGATACTGGGATGTTTGTGCTATGTATATGGTAAGTGTGAGACAGTTGTCGAAGAACAGTCATGTGTTTTTTCATTTACGCGTTTCCCAAAGCTTAACGTACATCAACCAATGGCACCAATCGTGATAGCTATGAGTCACTAGATTCTCGCGATCTGTTATAAAGGGCTATTGTTAGTTGACACAGTTCATAATCATGAGAAAAGAAACTCGAATACCAACTTGCCTATATCAACCATCATCAGGGTATACAGAGCATTCTCATCCACAGACTTTGGGGTGATGACGACCTCTGGCGATAGCAATGCCTAAGAAACAAACATTAGCATTGTAATCAAATACCCGCAACACACTCGACAATCACATACAAAGTTGGAGGGAATACCATGTCCCCAGCACGTCCTCCAATCCGTATTCTGGAAATTGATTTCAAGACTATCTTCCGGCACGATCTCACCAGGAAAAACATCTTCAAACAGTCGATAAGCAGATGCACTCTTGACGAGTTTGGGGACATCCACTTTTTCAAACTGTTGTCTACGCATGTATGCGTAGGTTGGATTATCGTATTGTTCTAGAAGGTAAAGATGTATATTAGTTCTGCAATGAGTGTTAAGCAATAGCCCCCTCCTTCGCATATTTTTTCAGTAGTTACCTTCAGCAATAGGTTGTTCTTGATGATGCTTCATGTAGCCCAATTCCACACGTTTGAGATGAAGAGCTTTAGCCAATGATGATTTAATGGATGCATCCTGAGCATTTGATGCCTGTTCTTCGAGAGCGATAATCTCGTGCTGGACTCTCTTCTCCTTTTCTGCTAGCAGGCTGCATGCTAAATCGTAGACGGGAAACACACTGCGAGGAATGGATGGCGGTATGGATGCTGTACTGTATCCTCGTGTTGTCCTGATGTTGGATAGCACTAGGAAGAGAACTCGGCGAGACATTGTTTTGATTGTTTTTGACGTTTTTTGGTCGGGCTAAGTTTGATGGATTGAAATACGGGTTGTGGAAGAGGATGAACGTGTATTGTACTTGGAGTTGTCACGTTGTGGAGCTCTGTATACCCCTTCTGTCTCCCACCCGTCATCCAAACATCTTTTCGTGATTTTCCTGCTCAAGCTCAAGTCAACGTTACAAGCACCTACGCGCTCGCTCTTCATTCAGCATTTCATCAAAATCGTGTGGAAACCTGCAAAACTGCTAACTGTCGTCTTTGCTACTAGTTTGAGTAGCCAGAACAACTTCCAGTTAGTACATTTCCAACTTCTGTTGAATGGAGAGTCTTGCGCAAAGATTTACAAAGAATCAACAGAATAATGCAAGACAGTAATGTCATCGCACTCTTCCGTTTATGTCTATGCTACTGAACGTGTTGCCGCAATAGATGGGCGATTTGGTATTTCTACTGCTGTCTCGGCCTTTGTCTGCTTCTTCCTTCCAAACCAAGTCAAAATCCTACTTTGTGTTGACTTGTCCATGTAGATGATCAAAGAACCTATTTAAATGGAAACGTGAGCTAAAGAAGCAGATTAAAAGTCAACTCGTCACCCACATTCTATCAGTGGTTGAATAAATGCTGCAACGGTTGCAAAGGCCCCATAGATTGGATCCATTCTTTCTCCAGTTACAAATCCATACCCAAGCCAAATAAGTTGAGGTATCGAGTTCAGAAGCGAAACAATCGTCAAAACCAAAAATTTCCTTAAATACAGCTAGAGGTCAGACCAAAACGAACAAATCTCTGTCCCGAAAGACTGGCCGTCACTGAGTCTCACCTGCAGAGGACAATTTCTGTATCCATTCTGGCCTTCCTAGGGAATCCTGCAGAGTGGGTCTCAGAAGATTCCAGGGCCGCCTGTCCTTTGTACTGTTTCTCTGAATCCCGTAGGGTATCGTGCAATCTGTTTTTCGTGACCGTGATGTGTTGAATGATGATGGCGTACAAATAAATTGTCACGCATATCGTAATGCAGACGGCAACGATCTGTAGTATGGTCTCGGCCATGAATTCAGGTTTTCTTGACGTCCAGTCATTCAGGCAGAAGATGGGAGGATCCATCCAGATTACGTTTTGTAAGATGAAGACGGGGAAGGACATCACTAGACCACTGTTGTTTTGGAAGTGATTGTGAATCGTGAGTATCTCGTCGCACAACTTGAAAACATTCAGATTCATACATTCCCCAGGTCAAGGCACAACCGATAGCAACATATCTCTGACCAATGTCATGACCCTAAAAGCAGAAAATGGTTTAGATTACCAATTAGCAAGAAATGCCTTTTAGGTTCGTAAATGATATCTCACCTTGACAATTATCAACCATCGGTCCACCGCAACAAACACAAATGTAATATTAGTAACCGCCTCACAAAATAGCAACGAGACTGCATCATAATTGCATAGTCCTTGTGAGTTGATGGTCCCATCATTTTGTAAAGTGGCACTACTTAGTAGCAACTGATTCCACAGAAAGAAACAATGGGCAAGAGCAATGTTGAAGTAGAATAGTTTTCTAGACTTCCATAATGACGTCCTGTCACTTATCAAGGCTGCTAGTAAAAATCCGTTGACGATGACTGATACAACGTATAGGAAAACCAGCGACACAATTAATGGTTTCCAGTACTCCCATGGATGAGAAAACTTGAAGAATTCCATTCGGATTCGGTCTTATTTACTGTGCATTAGCGAGAAACTCGTAAAGTCCATTTGTGATTCACGCTAAATCACGGCCCGGAAACACCAATCCTTCAATATTGTGCGGGTCTAAGTGAGGTACCCTGGTACAATCGCCAGCTCCTAACAAATTCATTCTTAGAATTCGATCAGTCCCGTGCCTGTACGCTTTCTCCTCATCGTCATACTGACTAGTGCGGCAGTAAATCAAAGTTTATACGAAAATCGAAAAGTTCCGCAGATTCCAACGTCTCTCGTTTATATGTTTTGTACCCAGTCAAAACATCCTTCAAAGAGTTTACGGAATAGAATCACAGGGCTGACGACGCTACTACTACGTGCAAGTGTCATGTGTTTCGGCTTGTTATTCAAATGCGCGTGTTGCCACAACGTTTGAAGGTCATGGGGCTGATAAGCCCAGTATTTTCGTTTCCTTCTTGCATAGAAGCCATAAACGTGATTTTGCGAATTGGTACGTCCATATAGATGATGCATGAGAGCGCCTTCATATGAGGATTTTAAATCAACTGAGAAGGGAACAGGTTGAGTCAAATTGTAAGTGTAAATAGTAAACTAAATTATAAAACAGCGTAGAGTATTCTTGCGTTTGCCTACCTCATTTCAATTTAAAAAAATGAAACCAATATAAAAAAAGGACTGCATGCACGTTCATTTCGAGCAATTTTTGAACTTTGAAGTGAGTGAACTTTGAACTCATGTTCCAACATCCGAAAACATAAGACATTTCCAAACTTTGCTCTTTCAAATCTGACCAGCAGACTGTATTTGTTTCCCAAATCCAAAACACTCAGAACTCAAAAACAAGAAACCACCCAACAAAAAATAACGCGACAACTGTTACCACACAGAAAGTATTCACTCTTCACTAACAGCAATACTAACCTTCTCCACCAAATCCAGCTTCCCAATAACAGTATAAACTCGAATACGAAGCACACTCTCCAACGAGTATTTTACGCTCTTCCATCCACTAGCATCCTCATCGTTGCCAAAACCCCATTCTAACACGCTCCAAACTCCTTCCTCGCCTTCCCATAATCACCCATCCGCATAGCCAACCTCCCATTCTCATATCGTGCGAATGGCAAGATGTAGTGATCTAGATGGATCCTGCTAGCGATTACTTTTATAAAGTCCAGCGCTCGTGCAGCGTCTTTTAAGTCAGGTGCTTGATCTGCGGTTGGACGGAGTCGTGCTTCATCGACGGTTGAGACCAGTGTCCTTTTATTAGGCATGGTGATCTCACGAAGAATGATACCCTTGAAGAGACGAGCGAGAGCCACGTCATGCCAATATGTTTTGTATGGTGGTTTGTCTTGGTCGGCTGATGGGGGCAGGATCTTGTCCAAGTCGGCAAGAGCATCGTTTACTTGGTCTAGTGATTTATATAGGTATTCACGAGGCATGAAATCGAAGGTGTTCATAATGTTGAGCCATTCGAAGGCTGGGAGGAGGAGACGGGAATCCTGGAGGGTGTATTTACGGGCCTTACGAGCAAAGAATTTCTCCAACTAGATGTTTGGGAGAGTGTGGAAAAGTGTGTGTGTGTACAAACGTCAACACCAAAAAAAAATCCGGCGTTGCGATTGTCAACTTACAGGAATAGACTTCCCAACAAGCTTTACAGTCAAACCATTAATCTCCTTCATCATGCCATCGACGACCTCCTTATTGCCTTTAGGATCAGCCTGACGCAAGCAAGCACCCTGATGATAACGAGACGAGACACCGCTTTATTCCACTTGTTGACTTTATACAACTCGCCAAAACATTTGTCAGATCGAGAGAAGTCCTGAATAGTAGCAGAAGCGATACCTTCCTCCTTAACAGCAGAAAGCAATATATGTTATTATCTATAACATTCATCTTTTAACGAGGGTCCTTTTTTGTTAATACCATACCACAAGGTAATATCAATCAATTGCTTCCATTCAAAAGTGTGAGTACGCACTGCCTCCATACGTAATATAACTGTATGTGGATTAGCATCAAGCTTCAGCCAACCCAGAGAATAATAAAACCAAGAAAGAGTTTGGGTGTTTCGATAACAGGAGCTTGTTTCGAGTCAAACCCCACGCAAAGTGAGGCCTCCAACAGCAAAGCGACAAATGAACCGGCATCATCACATACTTAAAAAGTGACCAACGGCAATTTCAAGCTTTTTGAGATCATCATCCACGTTTGCGTCAGAGTTCTCCAGTAACATTTTGACTTCCTTCTTGTTTAGAGTAGGGAGAGCTGGATCACTTGATGTTGGTGAATCACTTCCTTCTGATGCTTCTTCAAAGTGGTCGTCTTCGTCAATGTCCTCGGTGGTCACGGTGTCTCAAACGGTTTGATGAGGTTGCAGGAGGAGAACACACAGAATAGTCAGTGATCGGTATAAGAGCCCGTGTGCAACAGTTTAGAAACCTTTAGTAACTTTACAATTTCCAGCACGTTTACAGGGCTTCCAAACACCAAGAGATTGTTTGCATCGTTTTGAGATGCGAATTGCAAGTTGCAAGCGTTGAGCTTAACGTCTCCAACGCGATTTTTGACGCCCTGAAACGGTCGCGTAAAGACACGAAAAAAAGATTTTATTCCGTAGTAGTAGGGAGCACTATAACGATAGATAAATAAGAAGTATAGTCATAGTATATGAGACACCTTCGACAATGTTCAAAACACTACGTGATTTTATGATAATAGCGAGTACCTAACACACGGGCCGCGACCCGATCTATCTGGAACTGAGGAAAAACGTCATGTTTCAGTCCCTTGTTTTGTCCTGGGTTTTGTCTCAAACCTCATTCTCTAACACACATTCAACTTGAAACAAGTCAAGAGCAAAGCAATCCAGGCTTAACCTTGCCTCCAATAGATGGCCAAGAATGGATCCGAGTATACCTCACTTGCCGACTTGCCAATACAGAGGAGAAAGCCTCTTCCTGCAACTCCCTCACATAACCGGGATTCAGGAAAACACTTGGAAGCAATGATTAATGATCATATCGCTGCTGTTGGCAGTCCAATACCTCCCAAACTGCCCGATAGACCACATGACAACAACAAGAGAGGGGTCTCCTTCCTTGTTGATCCTCCTCCACGCACATCTTCGATTTCATTACTGGGGTCAAAGGGCGATGCCAAATCACGATCAACGTCGGCAAACAAGGACAAGGAGGCTTCGAAACATAATGTTATATCCAATTCATCTCAGTCATCGACAAAAACACTCGCATCTACTGTAAAATCACCTGAAATGACACGACGAAATAATATCGCCTTGGAAATATTGACTACTGAACAATCCTACTTGGCCTCACTTACCACAATCCAAGATGTACGTGTAGTTTGTAAATTCAAATTGCGTTTTGACCGCGTTGGGTTGTTGGGCAAATGCAGTCACGAGTGTTTCGATATCCAATCTTGTATTTTTTTGCTTGCCCTCACAACACAATGTACTCCCAAACACATTATATATAGGCATTCATAAATCCACTACTGTCTGTAATGGGATCTGAACGTGAAATCATATCTCGCAAAGTATTCGACAAGATCATACCAAGCCCTTTCGCAAACATCTACGAGCTCTGCCGGAGTCTTCTTGCAAGGCTCAATGAAAGACTACTAGATCCTTCATGGGATCCTTCTACTGGGAGACTGGGTGATATCTTCCTCGACACTGTATGTGTGGTTGTTGTATTGTTGGATGCACTGCTGTGTTGCGATTAGCCTGGTTTCATAAACTTTTTTTTTTCTTCTCTCATCACAGATCCCATACCTCAAGATGTACTCGGTATACATTCAGAACTTCAATGGTGCACTCTCGCTTATAGAAGATCAATCCAAGAAGAATCCAAAACTCTCTGCCTTCTTACACGTAAGCCAAAACCAAATAAGAAAGGAATCTACCAGCATGACAGTCACGTCTCAACACAGTTGAATCTTTATTAGGAGGAGTCCATGAAGAAAGCATACAAAGGCTTGCCTATTCAAGCATATCTGATGACCCCAGTTCAACGTATTCCGCGTTACAAACTCTTGTTACAGGTATACCAACAAACGCAACTGGTTCTTCCAATAGTCTTTAAAGCTTAGTGGAAATCAACCTAACCTTCTCTCTTTGCTCGTAGGACTTGCTCAAGTATACACCAGTCAACCACATTGATAGAACAGATCTGGAAAGGGCATTCAAACTCGTTGAAGAAGGTATCGAAATTCTTTCATGAGTCTTTTTTGCGTTTACTTACTGACTAACATAACTTTTTAGTGGCAATCTTTGTGGATGATATGGTACGAAAACAAGAGAATCAAGCTCAGCTTCTTGAGATTGATCAAACACTTACTGGTTTCAACGAGGTGTGTGCTGGTAACTCTGGGTCTTTTTTGTCGTAGAAGAGGCTGTTAGAAGTTCCGGTTTGATTCTCTCGTTGGATTCGTTGTACTTACTGATGTTGTTTTTGTGTTTTTAGAAAGTATTGAGTCCATCTCGACTATTCTTATTCAAAGGAGATTTGTACAAGGTACGCGATCGCCAAAAATCCCGTCCGTGCAATGTCCGTCTGTGTCGTTTCAAGGACTTACAGGTTTCGTCACCTGATAACACAGATATGTCGAAAGAATCATCAATTGCGACGTGTTTATGTCCTTTCGGATATGATTATTTGTGCCATGTAAGATCTCGCATGAACTAGTCGCGGAGAACCGAATCGATCAGTTGTTCGGCCTCGTTTTTAGTGCAGTTCGGCTAACTCCCATTTTTTTCGATTAGACCGTCTCTTCTCAACGATCAATTCACATTTAAACGCAAATTCGATTTGGAGTTTTGTGAAATCAGGGGTATACCCGATACTGATGGTAACCACAATGTTTGAATTATAATATTCTAAGTTGTGCACATTATGAGTCTCTGCTAACCACCATCCTTTGCTATGCTGTTTAGCCATCAAACATTCCTTTCAGCTCATCAGTCCTGGGAAATCATATGCGTTTTATGCTGGTATGTACTGAAGCTGTTGCAAAGAAGTCTTTTCGCTGTATAGCATGGTCGGCACCTACAGTGGCCGTTTTTGTTCACCTCTTTTCAAAATACTAGACTCTGAAGCCGAAAAGTTACAATGGGTTCGTCTCATATCAAGAGCCATCAAGGAATGTAGATCCGATCAAAAGAATAGGATCCCACGTACGTATATTCTGATACTTGTGTTTTCTATTCCAGCAAACGAAATGATTTATCTCATCCGCATTCTCCGTGTACTGCAGAGATCGACTTAGCATCACAACAAAAACGAACTACTATGGGTGATTACAAGGCGCCTATATGGATACCAGATGATCAAGCCAGCAACTGTATGATGTGTAGAGAAGAGTTCGGGATTTTTAAACGCAAGCACCATTGTCGATTATGCGGATTGGTGGTTTGTAGTGGTTGTTCCACTAACGTAAGTGTTTACTGAAAGTTTTGGCTCAACATTCTTCTTCCGAAGTAACCTTTTTTTGTGTCCTTCAACATAATCCCAATGACTCAAATCATTCTCACATTTCCTAGTCGGTATGGCTTCCAGACAATGACATAACTCCCGCACGCGCATGTGATCAATGTTTTGTAAAATCCGAGGGCAAATACCGTGCAGCTCCTGCAAGATCATCATCACCAGGAGGAGACGATGATGATGAAGCAGAACAATCATTAATAGCGCAAGTCAAACGATACTCTTCATGGCTCATTACTCCAACTGTTGCAGCGCATCAAACTGGTAACTATTTACATCGAGATCAACATCCGCAACAGCAGCAGTATAGCCATGGACCCAAGGTTGTTTCTCCTGGTCGTGCAAGGATTTCTATCTCGGTACGTTGGTGTTTTGTGTATAGAAGTGTACCGAAACTTTGTGTGCTTGTGCACGTAAATTTTAGAATGCATGATGGTGGAAGAATGGTCTGCAGTTATATTTGGACGACTGTTTTCTGTTCTAATCGAGATTTGCTTTCATTAGCTCCCTGCTGGTGACAAGTCAGGCAAGAAGTGTAGTTTGTGCTCAGAATCGTTCGGTGTGCTCCGGTATAAGGTGTGTGGTGGGGTTTAAGAACCAAAAAAAGCAAACTCTCCTATTGCATATTCGTTTTGACGGATCGACTCTCTTGAACACTTTAGAATGTATGTGGGGAGTGTGGACGTACAGTATGTGGAACTTGTGCATCCAAAGCCAACGACTTCAAACTATGTGATCCCTGTGGCAAGCAAATAGATCCTCGTGATGTGATTGTTGAGGAGCATGGATGGTCGTGTAGGATGCCTTTGCCTTAATCGTGATTTCAGGGAACGGGGAAGGTTGAAGATGAGGACTGGAGATTGAACAAGATCAATCAAACGAACCAAAAGAGTAATTTGTATATTTTCCCGTTAAACTTATGTAATTTATATCCCGAGCAAGTAATTTGTATATAACTGTAACTTGCAACACTCGCAACTACATGTAACATACAACACATGGATACTTCAGTCAATAAATTTGAAATTTTCGTCTTCTGAGCCGGGCAAGCCTGTATTATTGGGCAATTAACACTTGCAGCGATCAGCATATAACTAAACATCACAACGCGACAAATGTTTCAGTCACATACAAGAACACTCCCACATTCGACATATAACAATGGCAAACCTACGTCATCAAGCACCAGATTTCGACGTATAGGACGAGCTCTAATCCGATTTCTCTCTGTGCGCAACATCCTCATCACGCTCGCTATATCTTCACTATTGTATCTATGGACGCAATCCGGAACCAGAGCACAAGTAGAACAGGATAATAGCTCAAATGACTATTTAGATGCTGACGTGCTGCACGCGGTTAGCATCCAACCATCTCCTATACAAGCTTTGCCATCATCAAACTCAGCTGATGTCGTGAACGAGCTGAACGAGCTGCCGGTGCCAACGAGGACGAGGAGGAGAGGAGAAGTAGATGTAAATAAGCTAGCGTATCAAGGGAAAATAGTTCGTGGAGGTATAATGGGGCATGATAGAGGGTTTGAGGATGCTGAAAAAATGGATTTTGTGAGAGGTATGTGCTAAGCTGTTATTGTTTGGATGTTGTCTATAGAGTTGGATCTTTAAAAAGCATTTGTAAATGGTGTTGGGATGCATTTAAGACGTCGTTTTTGCTCAGTTGAAACGATATGCTTTTCGAGCATGCGGTGAACTTACCATACCCCTTTTCTCCATTCAACCAAGAAATGACAAAGCACGCGTGGTCTGGCTACTACACATACGCATCCGGATCAGATGAACTCCTCCCTGTAACTTCCAAAGCTCGAAACTGGAGTCGTGAAGGTTCTCTCCTTTTCACACCCATAGACTCGCTCGACACTCTGTATATAATGGAACTAGACGATGAATACTCCCAAGCCAAGAATCTGTCTCTCACACTAAATCTCGATCAAAACATCATAATCAACGTCTTCGAGGCTATAATACGACTTGTTGGCGGCCTGCTCGCAGCATACGATTTAACATCTGATACAAAACTATTGGATTTAGCTGTATCAGTTGCAGATGCGTTATTACCTGCATTCAATGATAATTATATGGGATTGCCATCCAATTCGTTGAATTTACAACTTGGGTTGCCCATGTCGGGGTCTGTTTATACGTTGGCACAGCTAGGGAGTAGTCAGCTAGAGTTTCAGTATTTGACGGATGTGACGAATGATCCCGTGTATAGTTTACGGTCTTTGCAAGTGCTGAAGAAGCTAAAGGTTATGGAGAGGCCTATACCTGGCTTGTTTCCGATACATATGAATGCTGTTGATACTGGGAAGGATCCACAGAAGCTTGTGGCTGTTGCTAATCGTAAGTTGCTTACATTATACGTCTTCATTTGTACCTTGTTGTTTGTTTGGAGGTCATGCTAAAAAACGCTCTTTCGTTACAACACAATAGTTTTCGAATACTCACTGGGATCTGAATCTGATTCGTTCTACGAGTATTTACTCAAATTATATCTAAGCACTGGCTCTGAACAGTATTGGGAAATGTATACTGCAGCTGCTGATGCATTTTCCAGCCATCTTGTAATGGATAATGAAAGAGGTAATTTGTTCATACCAAAGACGACTATGGATAATCGAACAAAAGTATCGTTTGATGCTACTTTTGAACATCTGGTAAGAATCCTGCTTGTTGAAACAACTTTTTCTGCTGTTCATAATCAGAAGTTTTGACCGACGGAAAACCAGATAATTGGTAAGTCTTACCAAAATGCTTTTTACTAGTCATGTTTCGCAGGCGGAATGTTTGGTCTAGGAGCACTATCTCGACGAACTGGAAACTGGACTGAGCATTTACATCTTGGGAAACGTCTTACAGAGACCTGTTACAAGTCGTATAGCAATACCGCTACTGGATTAGGGGCTGAAGGAACGGATCCATTGACGTTATCACCTACGAACCCATCACATTACTATATTTTGAGGTATATGTGTGTTGCTGATGTGTGTAATCCTCAACAAAAATCTTAAAGTCTTATTGGGACGATGATCTTTCTAATTCTAAATTTAACCAGTTTGTACGCAATCTACAAAATCTAACCACTTCATACACTTAACGCCCCATTAGGCCAGAAACAATTGAATCTATATTCTACATGTGGAGGTTCACTCACGATCCGATATACCGAGAATGGGGATGGGAGATTGCGCAGAGTATCAACAAACACTGTCGAACCGATTCTGGATTCTCTGGGTTGAGGAATGTCATGGCGTCTGGAGATCATGATAATAGGATGGAGAGTTTCTTTATCGCAGAGACACTCAAAGTGAGTTGCTGTATTCCCATCGAGAATCGCTTTGACTTTTTTGTCTCTCGCGCACAATGATTCTAACACGAAACTTCTTGTCTTTAGTACCTTTACTTGCTCTTTGCAACAGACGACCTCATACCTTTAGAAACATACGTCTTCACAACTGAAGCTCATCCATTATCAATACGAGGATTCGGACCGCGTTCAGATCCAGCCAAATGGAACAGTGCTGGGTTGAATGATGAATCATTTTCAGTGCTGCCTGATATTATCAGCAGTAGGAAGAAAGGCAAAAAGGGGAAATTGGATTCCCTGCAAAAAGTTGGAATGCTGGCTGGTCCGTGATTTGAAAAGGAGTAGTATAATTGGAAAAAATGGAGAGTTTGTACATGTATTATTGAAAGAGCCTCGAAGAGTGAAGAAGTGGTATAAATTGAGAGTTTGCATATGTCATTTATCATAGAAATAGGTTTGTTCGTATCATAAACATTAACTCTGCATCATGAAAGAGGTGTTGTGTTGCGTCAGAAGTTTAGACCACAACACACAAGCTTCCTCGACGCGTATTAGAATCAGGATACCTATGATATCACGTCGGAAGATAGAGGAAGTACGTCTTTGCTCTTCATTCTTGCTTGTTTTCGACTCACCAGGATTCAGCTTCCGGTTTGCCTTTTCTCTCTTTCCTTTCAACCGCAGGACGCAAGTGCGAGGAAATAAGATACGGAAGCTCATGCTACTAGGCTAAAGCATCGACACAGCCATGCCATACCTCGATAGTGATTTTACGCTACCTCCCTTATCACTGTTTGAGAGCTCAGACAGGCTAAAAAGCTCGACACTCAAATCGAAAAGCTCTGTGGATGACTTTGCCACTACATTCACCTCGTATGAAGGGCTTTACAACGAGAGCATAGTGCCTGTTGAAACTCAGCCCAAGGCATCGTATCCTCCACCGGTTTCATACGCTCCTCAACCGCTGCAAAATTGGAGCGTTGTAGATACACAGGACGATACATCTTACAAGTCCAGCACGTTGAAAAAGTATCAGATTGGAAGCACTCTCGATGAAAGAATTGCCAAGGAATCACTGGTACGTATTGTCTCGTTGGGTTTGGTTGGAAAGCTTAGAAGCTTGGAAGCTTTGGACTCAATATCTCACCACTTTTCGTAGGTATCGCAACCAACAGCTGCTCAAATCCGGAAGAAGAGAATAGAAGCTGACAAACTCCAAGCTCTGTCTGCTCCAAAGATTGAAGTAGCATTACCGTATGTGTGTTTGTTTACCAACCCACAAGCGTCCAAACTAATCAGACCCATTCATAATATAGCGACCAACGCCGAGAATCAGCAACGCCAATGTTTGGCTTGGACTCTCTCTGGGACGATATAACAAAGCGTGCTGAAGGAGTCTATGGAACATTAACCGGATCAGTCCAACAAAGCAACTCGCTTCAACGAAACAATAATAATGCGCCCGCACCGACAATCCCATCGTTAGGCCGTGATTCGAATAGAGGATCCTTCATGGCCCGATTCCAGGACCTGTTTTATACACCACCGGCCACGACTGAGCCTATGCCTGCAAATAATTCCACCACGACGCAACAACGAACAAATAATAGTAATCGATTCTCATTACGACCAGATCCACGAAGCACTTCTATACGAGTGCTGCCACCACAACGAACAACTCGGGCCGTACCTCGTCAACAACAGCAAACCCAACAAGTGCAACAAACAATAGTAGTGCCAGCGACTCTACACGGATATAACCCAGACTCGATGCACAAATACGTTAAATCGGAAGCATCGAATCTATCTATCGAATCGAGTAATGTGGTGCAGATGGAGTATCCCATGTATCAGCAATTCAGGTTTTGGATTATGGCGATTATATGGTTGAGTAGTTTGATTTACTTTTGTGTCTGGGCGTCAAGGTATGTGCTTATCTGGTTTTCAATTCTTTGTCAGGAAAAGATTGGAAGGCACGACAAAACCTTCACAAGTTCACGCAAATTTTGACGAACTAACAACCTGCTTTGTTTGTGTTTACAGCGGGCTTGTCGGTACAGACATTAATTTCCATATCTTCGTCGGAGTCACTACGTGTCTAATTGCAAGCTTCTACCTTGGTAAGCCAAAAAAACTGCCAGACTGATTGAGACTATTGCTTGAAAACGCCAGACAACAACAATCTCGTACTCACAACATTCTCTACTCCTAGTATTCTACTACTTCAACGGCCCATACCAAGTCCCCAACCTTCCATACGCCCTGACAATCTCCTCGATAAGAACATTCGCATACGTCGACATTGCTCTCTACTTCACATACACGATATTCTGGATTGCAAGTGCAGCAGCAACAGGTGTAAAAGAAGGAACATGTGGAGCTCCAGAAGTAATTTCCACAACAGCATGTAAATCAGTTAGTGGCGCTTTGTTTTTCGGAATGGTGGCGCTGTTTGGAATGCTGTTTGTCACGGCGTGGAAGATTTTGAGGGAAGGGCCGAGAGGTTCTTTTGCTTTGTAACAGGATTCAAGCGTTGATCTGTAACTGCTTTCTAGTGGTTATTTGTAATTATTGTCTCTTGATTTTTTTTTTGGTTGGCTGGATCTGCCAAAAATAGAACCCCCTCATAATACAAAAATAGTAGCGTTTTCGGTGCATTAGTTTCAAAAGAAGGAGACAGAGATGTGCATTGAAGGTTCTTCGGAAGTCGAAAGGAGATGTAACATGACCCTCATGATGCCATCTTAAATCAAGGGCAACCAATCAGCGTTAAAAAAAAAAGAGAAAGTCTATTCTTGCGTTTCAACGTTTGGGAAGCGTGACAAACACCAACGGTCACTCCAACTCTTCAGGCATTCTCTGCAATACCGGAACATACAGGAAGCCACGTCTAGTCGCGCACCATAAAGCCCAGTCGCCACAGTATTCAGCTTTGCGTCTGCAACTCGACAAAAATGTGAGTGATCACAATCCAATTCAAGCAGCAAGCCACCTCGAACGCACTCTTCAGTCAACAACAGCCTGACTCTATTCATTCGCTAGATCTTTTCCCGAGTACCATAACACATAACATATCAGTCTCCACGCTACACGATCAACCAAAATGGGAAACGTGCACTCTGAAGCTCAAGCGTCCCACTCACAACCATCATCGGGTCTCACATCTCCAGTCCAGCAACGGAGTGATATGCAGCTACCACGAGTCCCACAAGCTCCTGTAATTGTATACACAGCAGCAAGAATAGGGTCACCACAACATTTAAGCACGTTGGAACGGATGGCTGCTTTGAAAGCTACTAGTGCTCGATAGAGACATATGAGAAAGAGTGGAAGTTTCGTCGTTTCATAGTTTTGTTAGGTGTAATCGCTTATTGATAAAAATGGTGCTTTCTGTTTTGGAAGGACCATATGGACTGTATATATTTTAACAACAAAAAAAGGGCTCTCAAAGACAATTTAATGAGTTCATCTCGAAGTTGATTTATTTATTTATTAGTACTAGTAAGATTGAGACAAAATGCATGATGAGGTGTGTTGTTAATAACTTGCAATGTCGGTAGTGTATACTACATCTCCGTTAACGGCAAAGGCTGACACTTGGACTCCTTTATGAAGCTGATTATATCGTCTCAAGGCCTCTCGGGTTGATTCTGATCAGTCTCAACCTCCAATATAGCATCTTCGATCTTGGTTAATCCCCATCGAGACAGTTTTTTCACGGATGCGTATATAAGATGCGCCGTCTTGAAACAACCAATCACTATAAACACTGCGACAATCATCATTCCTGCTTTATCTGCTCGGCCTCCTCCGTTTCCGCGATTTGAGCGGAAGCCGCCGATGCGTGGTAGTGGACTGGAGTGAAAATGCATGTGAGCGATTTCAAGATTAAGCATAAACGATCAAATTTTCAGAGACGCAAACAACGTCACAAATAAATGGTATGCAACACCCAAGCTGAACAATTTCCGCCAAATGTAAAAACACAATAATGCAGGCCTCAAAACTCACCCAATCCCAAACAACATGCTCAACATCAAGTGCAAGCCCCCTCCTAAACCAATAAACACTAATCCATGTATCCAATGGTACAGATCAATCACCCATACGGGTTGTGATGCTGCAGCAGTCTTGAGTACCGAGAATATATCATCTTCTATAGATGTACTCGGATATCCGTCTAGATCTACTGATTCCAGATCAGGCAGGTAGAGAAGTAAACCCTTCATGAAGAAGCCCGATATGAATGTTGCGATTATGAAGATAAGTAGAGTTACACCCGTAACGGCGACTACCATAATTGAGAGCTGGTAAGTTATTATATGAAAGGAGAGTGTTATAGGTCAAAACAAGCTCTCTCTCAATGGCAATAATAAGTTGTTTGTTGGGCAATGTGAAAGCAGAGACCCTCAGAGATCAAAACAAGGCTCGTCAACAGCAAATACAGAATGACATACATTCATTTGTAAGGAATTGAGCAATTTTGGCCCTCTGGAAGTGGTACTTGTAGTGACAGTGGTCGCAAACCAAGAAAGATGTTGAAGCTTTGCTGGCATGTCTCCAAGCGTTAAGACATCCAATATGCACATATTTCATGGTTCCCTTGCATCGGCATGGACTGATCAGTTTACCCAATTCAGCAATCTCCTCAGCTAGATATGTTTGCGATTGTAAATGTTAGCCACCATTTGTAAATGTTTGACAATGGAACGAGACAACAACGCAAGTACCAGAGTCTCCGCCATAGCATATCCGACAGGTTTTCAGTGAATCGGTTGAGCTTGATGCTGGTGTTGGTTGTGGTGGAAGTGGTGTTGTGGTTTCTTCATGATGAACGTGGTCATCGTTAGTGGTGTGTTGATTCAAGAACTCTGCAGTATCGTCACTAGTAGCACTATTAGAAGTTCGCTTCCGTACTGTCTCTTCGGTATCCATGACTGCAAATTGCGAGAAAAAGTGTGATTTCGAAGAATACGGAAGATCACATGATATACAAGGCGAGACAATCAGATCAAAGAGTTTTACAATAATTATGAGATTTATTTCATCGGTTAATCTGCTATATCCAGTGTTGGATTGACAACTCGCCTCTGAGAATAGCCCCAACACATTTTTTTTGGCTCATGTATTC